CATTGGTGTGATCCCTATACCCCATCTTATGCACAATTCTTATAACTCTTTTTTGTAATATATACAATGGTTGAAGTGAGCTTTTGTATGTATTTCCCCAGTTTTCAACGCCATACTCTAAGTATGATAAAATCAGTGAAGAATACAAAATGCGTAGTGCTTTCCTGTCTGAAAGGATTTGTCTGTGCAGTCAGACCTGCAACTGTTGTAGCTGAACAACAGATGCACCTCAGACCAGATGTCAACTCCACCTGGATCAGATCTGAGAACAGATGATCTGGAATGATCACAACTCAGATTTGTGAAGCTTCAGCTGTGACGTCTAAGTCACGATTCATGTACGTCATCACTAATTCACTAAGTCAGCTTCGCCTTAACTTTTATCCACACACCTACCTTGACACCTCACACAACAACAAAGAGAAAATGGGAATAAAACCATTCGGACGCCGCTGCTGTCCCTCCTGTCTTACATTACTTTCCCCAGTGAATTTCCTGCTGTCACCTCTGTGAGGCACCGTGGTGGCTGCTGGGAGATTTGCAGGTGTGCATACCTGCCTCAGCAGCCCAGATGTGCGCAGGTGTGTTGAAGGAGATGATGTTGACGTGGTCCTTGAGATGCTGCAGCAGCTCGTTAAACTCCTTCTTACTGCAGCTGCAGTCAGCAAAGATCTCCACCTCGTTGGAGACTCTCTTTGACATCCGAGACTCGATGTGGTTCAGGTTCACTCGCCTCTCCTGCAGGACGAGGACCAGGGGACACAACAGGGAAAGGAAACAAAGGCTGTGAGGGGACAGAGGTGAACACATATGAAAAGAAGCAACAAGCGGACCAGGATCAGGAGAAGTCTCCAGGTCTCACCTGGAACAGTCTCAGAGCTTTGACCAAACAGCCGACCTCGTTCTTCAGAGAAAACACCACCGCAGTTTTCCCCGAGTCCTCCCCACTCTCTTTGTCTGGCTTCTCATTGATGGGACAGAAGGATGGACGGCGAGACTGGACAACAACAACAACAAGGTCAGGTCCAGGCTGATGGATGTAAAGTCAAAGCTCAGTTTTGAGGACTCTGCGGCCCAAACAGGACAATAAAGTTGGTCAACTGGAACACAGGTAAGTATAATGGCTAAGTACAACAAGGCAGGTGATAAAAACGCTTCTGACAAATAAGCAGATCAAGCAACAGACTAGAGTCCATACACTGGTGGGTCAGGATGTGAACTAGGGACAGACAACCACCCAGAAATCAGGAGCGAGCAAACATCCAAACACAGGTGACTCCAGCGGTTCAAACGGGGGGAGAAAGAGTCCAGTGGAGAAACAGGCTGAAAGCAGGACATGCACATAGAGTGCAAATGCTGGAGAGGCATTTTGTGACACTGGGCCAGACTGGCTTCTCTATGTGGCAACAGTAAGACCTGACTTTGTATAATCAGTGGAAAGTAACTGAGTACATGTACACAACTACTGTACTTAAGAACAGTTCTGAGGTATCTGTACTTTACCTAAGTATTTCCATGTCCTGCTCCTTCACGACATGTCACAGACAAATCTTGTACTTTTTACTGCACTTCATGTATTTAATAACTTTAGTTCCTTTTTAGAATCAGATGAATCAGTAATGGTTTAGAATACAGCCTGTAATTTACAGCGTAAGTACACAGAATCTACAGCATACCTTTTTATAGTACATACAAATACATACTCATAGGTAGAAGAGAACAACATGTAAAGTGTTGGGAATCAGGGTGGAACAAGCTGGAAACGTGAAAATGAATTATACTGTAAGTGTTTTTAAACTAGCGGGAACTTATTGTGTTATTGCAGGATGCAACAGGGACATGTCTGAGCTACAAAACTGGACTTCTGGGGAAATGGCATCATGAGTATTTGCCACTTTAGAAAGATCACCATATGTACTTCCCTGATGAATGTGTGGGTCTCTGCTACGCATCACTTCATCAGCAAACACTTCTCCACACACACCAAATTTAAACCAGTCACAATAGAGAATATAATGATTAATCCAGGTTTTTTCTTTGTGTCAGAGCAGACGATGTGACATGTGAAACGTAATCACAGATGGATGCTGAGCTGATATACTGACACGCTGCAGGAGCTGTGGGTAAATTTGCTCTTTACTGTTCAAACAAAGCAGGAACCGGTTTCTTCTTTTCTCGTCTGACGCCGGCTGTGTTTGTGTGATGCTGCTGCGCTCTCCTCCTCCACAGGTGAACCATTATGGCAGGGGGTGTTAAAAGGGCCATATACTGACACGCTGCAGGAGCTGTGGGTAAATTTGCTCTTTACTGTTCAAACAAAGCAGGAACCGGTTTCTTCTTTTCTCGTCTGACGCCGGCTGTGTTTGTGTGATGCTGCTGCGCTCTCCTCCTCCACAGGTGAACCATTATGGCAGTACGTGTTAAAAGGGCCGGATATATTTTAAATGTGCCGAATTAAAGATATCTGAAATTGGAACGATGACTTGTCAAAACCCCATTAAAGATATGTTTAATTTGAATGCTGCTTAGCCATAATCTAATTACAGATATCTGGAGTTCACATTGTGAATAGGCAAAATGTGAAGTGTCGTTATCTGAAGTTAGTTTTCCCATATGAGGAATTCTGTCTAGTCAAAATGTTATTGCTTAAATTATAAAAGTAAATCCTGTCCCCCTATTTAATGTTAAAAGGGTTTGCCACAGAACGAAACCTGCAGAATCACTTCACTCTGAGCCTGCGGCTGAAACACAGCAGATCGTCCTGCTCAGGCTAAACTGCAGAGGAAGGAACCAGATGTTTTCTACTGATTTTCTGATGCAGTAGAGTCCAACACAGGCTGACTCTACAGATTTGTGATAAAGATTTGAAATAGAGATTAAATCTCAACAGGACAAGTTCAGGAAAATATGCGAACACTGAAACATTAAACAATCATAACTTTTAAAACCCCCAGAGGAAAAATCAGAAAAACAAAATCACTGGTGCACGAAGCACACAGAGCTTCTACACAAGAACAGTACAACAGTGCAGAAATACTGTGTTTACTTTTATCTTTACTTAGAGTATCTTTTATTCTGCCTTCCTCTGCCTGGTCTACTTTTCGTCTACTGTCCTTACATTATGTCTTCGTGGTTCCTAATTCATTACACTGGGTAATAACATGTTACCTAAAACTGCTGTGAACTTTAAAACACCTCAGAAAAACCTCCAGAAACCAAAAACCATCAGTGAGGATGAGCTGATGACACTGGAGGAGGACGAAGAAGATGAGGAAGAGTGCTCACCATCTGCCCCCCGGTGTGGCGCTGCTGCTGGTGGTTGAACATGGCCGAATCCAGCGACAGCCCCCTCCTGGCCCAGTACTTGCTGGAGAACATCATCATGGCCGGCTGCATCTTGGGCACTGGCACCGGCACCGGCCCATCCTTCAACACATGGGACGAGGCCATGGGGAACCAGTGGGTGTATGAGTACCAGGGCTCCAGCCTGCTCTGATCTGTTCTACTCTGCTCCTCCTTAATCTGACACTGAGGTCTGTTGGCCTGATGCCGGCCTGCCACCGGCTATATAGTGACACACAGAGGGGAGGGGGAAGTGATGGTGTTAGTGAAGCAGGTCTCCTCCTTGAACCGAGGCGGCCTACAGCTGCTGGGATCCACCTCCCAGCTGCTCCAGACATCACTGATGAACAAGTTATGGTCTGATTAACGTGACTGAAACAACTCGTTTGACTTCCTGGAACTGTGGCGAGGAGACAGTGTGTAAAGATGAGGCAGGGGTCTGTAATCAAAAGGCACAGCAATGTTCTTTCTATCATTTCTTCACATTCTGCAAAAACAGAACAAAATGATTAACATCAAACATCTCAACAGGAACTGTTTAATGAAGAAATTCACTGAGGATGCACAGTTAGTGATAGAGTGAAGGGAGGAAGATGGCATCTGCAGCCTCCGGTTAAGGTGAGTGCTTGTGTTGTTTGCCATGAATCGGGTCTGGTCAAGTGTTTCCCTTGGTTTCCAGTCTTGATGCTGAGCTGATAACATGTTTTTACTTTTAGTATTGAGTGTGGATTGAAAATGCGAGGCAGCTTTATCCATTTGAATCAAATTTACAACACGCATACAAAGTGGAGGGCTCTGAATACTTGATGAAGAAGCTGCATACGATGTCTTAGCAACTGCATTTGTACACCAGTTTGTAATGCAAACTGTTTGACAGTTGAGATTGAATCCTCTTGTTGGTGTCCCATCCCTGTGAGTGTTTTCCTTTCCATTCTGAGCCTTTAGACTGCTTTCAGTCCTGTATCAAAAGCTTTGTGTTTGACGCCTTCTACAGTCAGTGTAAGTGTGGCTGAGGTGAACAGGTCAGTGGTTGCTCTCTGCAGCAGAGTGAATGACAGCCAGGCCTCACAAAGCAGCCTCCACTTCAATAACACCTGAGAGATACTGGACGATAAGAGGAGACCAGCGGCAGCGTGCTATCAGCCGTCTCCTCAGACAATTTCCGGCAGCACAGGAAATGAAAGAGCAGAGAGACGGCAGCAGGAGCGCCGGCTGCTTTTTTCTGGCTCTGATGCAGCTTTATGAGAAGATTTCAGGTGATACCTCCTCCGCCTTCAACGCCAAATGTCTCCCGTCAAAGGCAGGTGAGGAGGGGGTGGAGGGGGACGTCCATCACATACATGAAAGCAGCTGAAGTGACATTTGGAGGCAAATGTCATGCGGCGGAAACAGCAGAGTTACTTCTTCAGCTGGAACATTTCTGAAGATAACACATTTGTTAGATGTGAATGAAAACCCTTCACAGGGCTGACTGGCGGTCACTGGTGCCTCCCAGTTAAGATCAGTTTTATGTAACTGGGTGTAAAGACAGTTCTGGGAGGGTTGTGATAATTTGAGCCAGTGCAGGTACGTCCCACTTCAGTAGTGTGACTGAGACTGACGCCTCTGATCAATGAAGAAAACAGTATTATTTCAGTTAATTACAATGACGTTGCACCTTTGTTCCCCCTCAGATAGTCTAGTCACAGCACAGTGACGTTTACATGACTTTATCCATCTCAGGCTGGTGATGACGGGTGGAGGGGTGGGACGGTCTGATGTGGGTAAGCACATAATCTAGCATCTGACTCTAGTTTTTTGTTTGTTAAAAGTAAAAATAAATTGGCTGATATGAAGGACAGTACATGTGACTGGTGTCTGTGTGATCTGGACTGTTTTTGTCCAGTCTGTAAACAGAACAAAAACATTAAAGGTTGATGTATTGACTTTGTCAGCAAACAGAGTGACGCCTGAGATGTGAATATGGCCACAGCCCAGTGCACCCTCTGTTCACTCTGGGTTTGGTCTCCACCACCCCGAGGGAAACTTCTAAATGCTCCACCGTCTTCCCAAGTTGGTCTCGGGCTGGGTCTGTCGAGATGGTCGTGGAGACTGGCTGTTTGATGCAACTTCTCTGAAAACAGAAATGTGCCACAAAACTAATCTCAGAGGTTAAAACAAGATAGCCGAGGGGAACTGCAGTAACTCCCAGTGGGTTCCAACACACACCCATTAGTGCAGCTTTAACTGCATTATAGAGATTAGGTTGTGTACAAGGGAAAATCAGAAAACTCCCCAGTATCCTTAAACCATTTTATTGCCCAAAGTGTTCAGCTGATTACATGAAGATAGCTGAAACCACAAATGTTAAACCTGCAGCAAAAACATCACAGAGCTCTATCAGGATCAAGAAAATAAAGCAAAACCAGTGCAAGTCCTTAAAGCCGCAAATATAATCAGCTTCATTCCACAGCACTCAGCAACCATCATTTATTTCTGGAGTCATATTTTATGAAGGTGATGGTTGTGTCAGGCTGCAATAAAACAGTGGAGTCACTTCAGACTGTAGTGGCTGAGCAGGAGGCTGGGTTCAAAAGGTGCTTTCAAAGGAATCATTTCACATTTTGAAAAGAGACTGGTTTGTTTGCTGGGAGTTAAATGCACAGATCCAGTCAAACCCTGTTGTGTGGTCTGCACTTATTTACATCCACAGCAGCTTCCACTGGTTGTGGCAGAGTCCGCCATCCCCCGGTGGCAGCACTGGAGCATGTATTCCAGTGCTACTGCTCGGATGTGGCTGACATCAGCCCCACTGTTTACGGCTGCTGCTCTCCCTCCTACAGCCAGATTAACTTAATGCTAATGCTAACACAACACTTCCTACTGTCTATTTATCACCGAAAGACAGAAAGCAGCTGCTAAACCACCTGCTATTTCCATGACAACCACAGGTGTCACCAAATCAACCAGGCCTGACATCTGAAGCAGATCACTCAGGTTCACGTCTTGTTTCAGTCAGTTCCATAGTTTTGTGTTTAAATGTCCGTGTGTGTTGTTCTGCAATGTTTTTATCATTTTATAGCGAAGCTGAAAACGAATGTGTGCAAGCAGGAGTAACGCCGTCCCGTCTGAGCTTGCTATAGCTGTGGTGTCAGTGAGTTACCATCCACGTGTTTTTATTCTCAATTTTTAACTTAATAAAAACGAGTGAAAAAAAGAAACACCTATAAACCATTCTCCAAAGTGTTTGTTGTAAGAGTAAAAATTAATGTGACCCCAACATCAGCGACAACAACGATAGTGGGACCTTCCTCACATTAACAAGTGAAGCAAACAGAAAAGACAGATTTCCATCATGGCTTCTATCATTTGAGCATCGACTGCAGCTCTTTTATTCAACTCTTCATCTGAATTGGCTTAATGGGACGGACTGGAGAACCAGCTCCACCAGTTGTCTCCATCAGCCGGTCAGCTCAGACGGAAACTTGACTTGTAATTACTGTGGCAGGTACAATGTTATTAGAACTAATAGAAATCAGTGCAGACGCTGTGAAAACGAGACTGGAGCCACAATAAACCAAAATGAGCCTTTTATTGAATGTCTACTCTTTCACTACAGAGATGATCCAGGATGTAGTCAGTTCACTCTACAATCTCATTTAACTCCCAGTAAGAAACCAAATATATTTCCCAAAATGCCGCAGTGTTTCTTTAAACAAATAATACGACCTGGCGCAGTTCATCAGCATCACAACATAAAAACACAACATCTTCATCACACACCAGCGACTGTTTCCACCAGGCACATTAACCTTTATTCCATTTCAATGGACCCGCCAGTTTCATATTAGACAATTAATACTGACAGGAGGTTAAGAAGAGCCGTGACTGATCTGTGTGACAGCTGCTCGTCTTATTCCAGGTACAGCAGCTGTACACGAAAGAACATCAAGACTAAATATATGCAGCCAATAAACCATGTTTAATCTGATGTGGCTGGAGGTGGCTGTGAGAGAAGACCCAGCCCATCACAGGTCGTGGTGAGACGCCCTGTCAGTCTAAAGCTGCAGTCAGACTGGATCTCTGTCTGTCTGGTGATTTTACATCACCTGCTCCACTCAGTGAGAACACCCAGTAATAAACACAGCCACACAGAGCGCTGGGTTTCTGTGAACCGGCTGCTCCACCTGGTATTTAAACCCAGCCCCTGAATTTTAGTGAGGGAGGCTGTTTTTGTCCTTTTTATCAGCTCAGGTTAAATTGTGACTGGAAAATGATTTTGGTAATCTGATAAATGGAAACATTCTAATGCCAACACAAAGGCCTTTATGGGGAGCTAAATGATGGCTGGGAGAACAGGACTCAGGCATTAATGTGAGGCAGGAACTAGTCTTCTCTCTGAGCCCAGGTTCTTAGCCTATATTTACTTCCATCCACCTGTTATGGACCTCACCTCTCACCCAGTGTCGGCTGTGGATAGGTTTTCCAGATAGTCACAGTGTCCCCATTAGAAGCTTGACAACAAGCAGCTGGTATGCAGTGTCCCCGTGGATGTACAGACAACTGTCAGACTCGAGGAGACTTAAACAGAGGAGGACTCTCGGGCAGCCTTTGCAGCCTCTTCTGCCCTGACAACCGACTGGATTTATTCAGGAGGGACATCAGCGATAGCAAGACCCTGAGGTAGGACTCTGAGGACGAGGAGGACCAGTTTCATCTTGGCCTCCCCTTCGGCTATGTGGCGCCCCCCTGTGGAGTCTTTTAACCAGGGTTAAAATGAACCATGGGTAAAACCACTGCGGAGCACAGTGAGGACTTGGCCCCCACAAGTGATGTCCCTCATGTCTGAGTGCAGCTTTAGACCATTTCAACAACCGGAGAGAAGGAATGACGATTTGAATGAAAGAGACAATATGGTACAAGAAATTACAAAAATAAGATTCTGAATAACCTCAAATCCTTTTTACATTCTCTTCTTCTTCTGTCTTATCGGGGGGATGAGACGACGTGGCAATGGGCTGCCACTGTCGTGGTCCTGCAGACCCTGAGACAGTCTCTCATTGGTTCTGCTGTTCACTACAACCTGAAGGCAACTTTGCAGCTATTGTGAGAGCTGGTTTCTCTCAAGTGTCTGTTGGAGCAGGCGTCCTGTTGCTGTGTCGCTCTGGGAGCCGCTGCAGATTCACAGTCTGTCGGGTTGGAGCCGGAGACTTCTGTGCCAAAGCCCAAAATGGCGCTGACGGAGTGGGGCAAATCCTGGGGAAGAGAAACAACTCATTTAGTCCTAATTAGAGGATGCACCAACACTGAAACCAGTATCAGGTCCAGTACCGCCCTCTGATACTACATCGACTTCACACCTGCTGAGCTACTTTAAGAAGTGATGATTAAAAAGTAAAGCTGACTGTGAACGTCACTGAGTGTCGGGAAGTGAACACACACACACACACAGCGGAGAAGAGACGTGATGACAATACATAACAAAATCCTCCAGTAACGGAGAGAGTGTGAGCAGTTTATGAGACACTGGCAGAACAAGCACGACGTGTTCACTGTCTTGTGGTCACCCTGCCTGGCTCTCAGTTCACCCACTAAACACAGGCAGCACTTATTCTGCTGAGTCTAATGAGCTGAATTCCTGCGCCCTGAGCACAGAGAATGACGCCACAAGCGACAGTCAGTTCAGTGTGAGCCCGCACCCTCATTGAATTAGGATTTTAAACTGTTGACTGTGACATCATACGCTCCTAAAAAGGTGAAGAACCACAGTATTACAGTACGCTGTGCTGTACAGTACTGAAGTCCAGGCACTTCCATGTTACATGTGGCTGGAGCAGTGGTGGCGCCATGTTTGTTTACACAGAAAGGGTTGTAGATTTGACTCACAGGAACAAAAACACACTCTACACTCACTGCACTTTTATGGTCATTTGATTTCTATGGTACAAGTATTATTGCTATTATTATGTATCAGTACTCTGTATTCTTAAGTACTTGATCTGGAAAAAAGTGGTGCATCCCTAACTGACGATTACTTTCATTATTGATTATTCTTATATTCTCAATTAATCTTCATTCTGTACAGTGTAAGGAAATAATGTTAAAGTGCATCATATACTGTTTGACAAAAATATATTACATACATATATTTATATACTGGTATAACATCTACAACAACAACATCTAATATCTTGTATTGTTTCTTTTTCTAATCCCTAATTTTCTCATATAAAGTGTGGTTATGACAAAATTTCAAAAACTTAACATGAAACCTAAAACACTATGACCCAATTATAAAAACTCAGTTCAGCCTTTACACTGATGTGTAAATGTCCCCTGGTGCTACTTCTTTCAGATAATTTACAGCAGGGGTGCCCAATACGTCGATCGCGATCATCCGGTTGATCGCAAAGGTAGTCATCCATCCTCCCTTAGAAAGTCACAATCATTCATATATAGCCTGTCATCCATCCTTCCTTTGGCATTTGCTACCTGATTGACATGCAGGACAGCCAGTCTGAGATCTCGTCTTTTCTGACACAAAACATGCACACTTAACAGCACGAGCTACTGCAAAACTCCAGTGAGCGAACTACCTTGTCAGCCTTCGAATTAATGTCTACTAAAGGGTATAAAATGAGTGGGGGAGCCGAATCAAGTAAGAAACAGGAAATGTACTGAAAACATTCCATGTGGAATGGGAGGACTTTTTTTTGCGACATTAGATTCGAAATGCATTTGCTTGATGTACCAATCTACCATCGCTATTCCGAAGAAAGGAAATGTGGAGCGGCACGTTCAGACTGTTCATAAAAACTACGTCACTCATTCATACATATATTTTGTGTGTGCGTGCGTGCGTGCGTATAGTGCTTTTAGTTTAGGTCCATCATTTTGACTTCGTCATTTGAAAAGTAGCTCGCAAGGCGAAAAAGTGTGGGCACCCCTGATTTACAGGTTGTACCTGTTATTTTTTGAGTGATAACAGCCACAACCTGGATGGTTTCTACCCAATGTGCCTGTTGGTGGATGTACAGTACCTTACAACTCCTGATCTGCAGACAGATGCCCTCTGCTTTCTGAAGGATCTCTTCAATGTCCAGCTTCATTGAAAGCTCATTGATGTGCTGAAACAAAGGAAGACAAATGTCATGTTAATTTTGGTTCCGTCCAGTTTTAGTCGCACCTGCAAAGGCAGAAGCAACCTGTGAGGACTTGATCAAGGTTTCAGTCTGCCCATCAGACAGCAGCGACTGGGGAATGGAATGCTGGTGACACCGGTTAACCCTCAGGCTTGCTCCGACTCCGGCTGCTACCCTGTAAAACAGAGCCTCTCTCAGTGACTGCACAGGTACCTTGAGGATTTCACTGAAGCCATAGTTCTCTTCCATGATTTTCTGCTTCTCTGAGTCCAGGATGGCGCAGCAGACCAGCAAGTGGAAGTTGTGGCACGGCAGACCAGTCCACATCACCTGAGCGGGACACGGGTAATGACGACTCAAACATTCATTCACATTCAAAGGTTTAACAAATAACATAAAACAAACACTGAGATGTTGTGTTAACGAACTCTGCTGATCTTTGACTAACAACAGGAGCAAACTATGGAAGCTGGGAAGGACACAGGTAAGTCACAACGTGTATTCAACCACATCTTCTGCTACATCTACATGTGTGTTGATAAGCTCTGAGATGGTGATGGAAAAAAGCTTAGGTTGTACTGTTGTTATTACTGTTAGAACCAAGTGTGTCCGTTTCACACAGACAACTATGGAACCAGACCCAACGCTGAAGAGAAAACTGACCTCCCAGAGTCGCAGAACGTCATGGAAACTGAGCTCCCTCTTAAACCTGATCAACAACCAGCGGAAACAGAAATACAGATAACCTGAATCCTGAGCCTCTGGAAGACAAACACAGTCAGAGTTAGAGGGACAAAACACACGCCCACACACACACTGCTGTCTGAGCTTTAACACAGCAACACTGGAGAACTGACATTTCTGTTACATCCTGACTTTACAGGTATAAAACTCTGAACAGTTCAAAGCTCCACAATGTTGTCATTTCTCCAATGTGACCAGGGAGGAGACTTGGCGAAGCTGTACCAAGCAGGATTATGGTTAATGTGGTTGAATATCTAGTAGACCGTTACCGAGGTAGTTCCAGAAGGCCAAGTCCAACAGTCTCAGCAGAGTACTGAGCTGAATCAGCTGAGTCTTCATCCCCTGCATCTGCTCCTCAAAGTTCTGGTGCTAGAAAACAAAGCACACAGACACAAATAAAACTTGCACTCACGTAATGTTGGCCAAATGTGAAGAACAGGAAGCAGATGTTACTCAGATTCCAGGTGTTAGCCCCTGAGGCTAACCTGTAGCCAAGCAGATAAACTGAGTAAATCAGCTTCTTTTGTTGTGCATCTGCAGCAGTTTGTTACCAGGTGAAACCAGATCAAACAAACACTGGGTAGCTGAATGGACTGCATCAGTGTTACTACTAGATTTTATTTTGATGGTGTATTTGTAGCCATCCTGCCAACAGTTTGTTGACATGTTTGTTGTTCTTTTCACCAAATGGGAGACGCTTTCACAGATAAACCAGATCTTTGGGGTTAATGTGAAGGGTTTTCACAAGCTTCCAGAGGTGACTCACAGGGTCAGAAAACCCTCGCTAGTCTCTGACAGCTGTGTGTGGCTGCAGCCTTCAGACCAAACAAAACAACAACTGTTATTCTCACCATCTGGTCCATGAAAGAGACAAAACACCAGAAAGCGTCCACCTCGTTCTCCATCACGTAGAGGATCGGCGAGAGCAAGTCGCTCATCCCCTGAACGTAACCTGAGGGTTTACACACAGCTGAGTCCCGGCTGAGATCACTGACTTCAGTACAAAATAAACATCATCTACACTGGCAACATCATCTCAGACTTGAAATAAGGAGCGATGATGTCAGTGCCACACAGACAAAGTGAATGAAAAGCGAGCGTCCTCACCCAGGTCGAAGTCGAACATGCAGTAGGTCATGAGGATGTCGTGGAGGAGGACCAGACTGGGGTTATCGATGCCTTCGTAGAACCTGTTGGTTCTGTCTGTTCGGTTCACATCTTTCTCTGAACAGAGCAACAGGACAGACGAAGGTTGATCTCACAGCTACTTCTATACAGGAGACTTTAAAGCATTTTAAAGTGTGTGTGTGTGTGGGGGGGTATTATCCTCAGGGACCTGAACACATGCTAATACATGTGATGACATCTGCTGCATAAAAACTCTCTTCCACTTCCTAGATGACAGTTTACAATTTACATTTTTCAAAATAAATAAACCCTGGTAAAGTCTCTGACGTCCGAATTGATCCTCACCTATGAGACTCCTGTAGTCTCTGAGCCTGGAGTTCCTCCTCTCCTGCTCCTCACTGACCGACTTCCACTGCAGCTTCATCCTGAAGTACTCGTCTCTGATCAACAGGGCAATGCAAACATTTCCATTAACATACGAAGCTGCTGTAACATCACCACAGCATCACGACAACTAAAACATGACTCACTCAGCTTTTGACTGTTTGCATTTGTTTTTGTTTTGACCTGAGCTACAACTAATGATTATTATTCATTAATAGTATTTTCTTGACTGATTTTTTTGTCTAAAAAGTCAGAAAACAATGGAGAATGCCTGTTGCAGCTGAGATGACACGTTCTTCTTTGGTCTAATCCCAGTTGTGTTTATCATAAACGGACAAAAAGAGTAGTAAATCCTCTGAGAAACTGGAAGAAGTAAATTCTTGGTAATTTTTTATGTGAGAAGTGACTCAAAAGCTTAGGAGGTTATGAAGAGTTGCAATCAATTTTGTTGACTAATTGATTATTGATTTAGGCCACAAAAGAAACTCAACATTTTTAAATGACTTCATTTATGAAAAAAAATAAAATAAAAATAAAAAAACATTTTGAAAATTGAAACATTAACCTGGAAAAAGTGACAAATCCTCACATTTAAGAAAGAGCAAAACCTTTTTGCGTTTCTGATGACCAATTCAAATATATAAATAATTCGAATTCTGAAAATATGATTGATGAAATAACTGTCCAGTTCTTCGAGCTGCGATTTGTCATCAGAATATTCTCCCACATTATATCAGAATTGTTTTTGCAGATGTAAGAACATAAACTTTACTATGTGATGTTACATGTACAGTGTTCAGGTGACATGTCTGTATGATGGGAAATTAAATAAACTCTCCATCATGGTGGACAGCTGTCATACGTTTTGGTTCTCTGGAGAGCCTTCCTCTCCTCCAACGTGCTGTCCCAGGGAAAACATCCCAACAGAAACTTCCACGCCTCCTTCCTCACTGCGTGACACAGTCCCTGCAGATACAGATATAGTATATGAATATAATATTCATCTGATGGATGGACTGACAGTGATCTAACCTGTCAGAGTCGTGTATATTTTACTGTTAAGTTTTGTGTATTTCAACGGCTCGTCTGCAGACGTCTATTAAAAACTAGCTCAGGCTATAAACAAACATGTTCCTATACAGAAGAACAGAGTAGTAATAGCTTGTACATGCCCCTTTGAAGATGACTTGTTTGAGGTGCGAGACGTTGACCATCCTCCCCTCTGGATCCTGGTGTTTGGTCCAGTCCTCTGCAGACAGAGGCTCCCTCCTCATCACCTGAGGCCTCGCCCCCAGGTCGATCTGACAGGGGCCAAGGTAACACACAGGTAGATGTGCTTCATAAGGCTAACACACTGTTTCTGTGCTGAATTCAGAACATATGACATGAACAACAACATACAGATATACAGTAAAGTGTCTAACCCAGCTCAGGGCTGTACAGCTGCATAAAGGCAGCCACAGCTATGCATCAGCATCCATCTGTCAGAGAGAGACTGCAGCCTGTCATGTGGTGTGCGCTGCTCAACACACACACAGACTTTAGTTCTCTGACTGGTGCCGTCTCGGCAACGCAAGCACTCAAAGGTGTTTCTATTAGTTTGTCCATGTATATCAACGAGGCAGGACACAAGACAGAAACAGCAGCACAACCTGCACTTCTGTGAAACGCAAACTGAATGTGTTTACCTTCGTGGAGGATGATGAAAAGTAACTGGCTGTGTGTGTGAGCCACCTCTCACCCTAGTGATGACCTCGAAGCCCGGCTCCTCCTGCTGGTTGATCTCCAGTCCTGGGATGACTTCACCCAGCAGGTCAGCCACCTCTTCTGGGGGGCGCTGGTGCTGCTCCTCTGTCCCCCGCAGGGCATCAAATATGTAGTTGGTGACTTTGGAGAAGCCGCCCAGTGTGGTCACATACGGGTCCTTTCTGAACTTCTGCAGGAGACAAACTCACTTCTAACATCCAACTCACACCTCAGTGTCCTGTACATCACTGACAACATCAGGCTTCACACTGACAACATCCATGAAGACCTGGATCTGTGATGTTTCTCCTGTGGAAGATGTGACTTTCTCAGCGTTTACATGCCTAATAACTTCTCTGTTGCCACGTCAGCGTGGCACTGACTTTGTGTTCATGATGTTTCACAGTGATAACTCTAGTTTCTTACATGGACAAGGCCGAAGCTGTTGTCATCCAGAAGGTTCTCGAAGGACTGTGACAGAGCTTTGTTTGGAGTGCTGACCAGCAGACATGTTCCATCATCTGGACACCTACAGACACACAGCACACAAAACTAACCTCCGAGTACTTACAGGTAAACATCAGACACAGTGCGCCTGTTGTTCACGTTATCAGAATCACTTTATTCACAGACTTTAGCTCAGGTGAACTGATATCTTGTAAACAGAAGAAATTAAGACAGGTGAGGTCACTGAGAAAATGAGGTCTGGATTCATGAATTCAAATCACCATCAGTGATTTGAATCAGTGCACACATTAACATCTTCTAATACAAGATGGCGCAGCCAATCAGGACCCAGACTGTCACCAGGACATCACACTGGAGCTACTGGTTCTCTGGGCCTGAAAATAACCCCCACCCGCCACTTAACATAGACAATTTCATTACAAGACGCTCTGATAAGAACTTTAATAACAGCTATCTGCACTGCGATAAAGGAGCGTACTGTCTGCGCCCTCAGAGGAACAGCCTGACATGATATTTGATTCAGGTCTCTGTGCAGTCCACCGAGGTGGCAGCAAACATCACAGACGCTCACTCTGGTTGTATGTAAATCACATTTGAAGAGAACCTTGTTCTCTGGACTTTCAGCTACTTGTTTACACAGGTCTCTCACCAAAAATGACAAACAGCTCATTTGTCTTTCATGCAGAAGTTACTGACCAGTCTATATGTACCAAAATACTGGCAGCACCATGCACCTGTATGTATACGAACAAAGTGAATGGAATCTGACTCTACGGTCCCAGAGCTGTACATCACCACACACAGCAGAGAGCAGCAATTCACAACACACACACACAGACTGAACTTTAAAAGTGATATTATTGCACACACAGACGTATGAATTGCAGCAGCAGCAGCATTTGAGAAAATCCAGATGTTAGGCAATACATATACAGAAAGCCTCTGCTCCTGGTGCACTGTATGAAACCTTACACCTCACAGAAACACAGTCTGACAGACTCATTCAAAGGTTCCCTGCAGTTTTTGACCTTTAGCAGCAGTATAGAGCATGTACCACGAAGCGAGTTCAAGACCAGCCGTCCTGGATAACTGGACCCATGAAGCCTGTTATCAACTGTCTGGGTTTTCCTATCTGGCAATGACGACATTCATGTGAAAGAGTTGTTGTTAATAAGAAGCGACACCGCCAGAACCATGAATGAAGCACTGAATACAATAGGAAATGGAGCAGCAATACCTGCAGGAAACTCGTTTAGACCCAGAGCAAATAAAAAACAGGCTGTGGTCACATAACTAGAACAGAAGCAGCAGCTAAAAACACTAGAAATAATTTTCAAATATTAAAGAAAGGCTAAGAAGATACTGTAAATTAACACTTTATTGTTATTATAAGGGTATTAACGAATGAGTATTGTCTTTTGTCCGATAATGAAGAAGCTGTTGTGAACATGTGCTGGTAAAAAAATCCAACAGCTTGTGGTGCCAGAGTGGAGAGGACAGTGGTGTCCTCATATTATTCCGAGCTGCAGTGATGGAAGCCTGTTAAACACTGATGCAGCGTCGATCATCATTGGGGGCTGCAGACTCCCTCGGTCTGTTAGAAACTCTGCTTTAAACCAGAGTGACCCATGAAAGCCTGAAACAGTACAACCATACAACTGCTCTGTGGAAATATCTGTTTAATACTGATCACATTAATGCAGACTCCATCCCTGTCAGGATCCTGTAGGAATGATTCCTCAGGTTTTCCAGTGATCTGATTGGTCAGTACTCTGGCTGTTGACAGGTTTTGATCCAATCGTGAACCTGCTCAAGCACAGGTTAGCTGTGCAGTATAAGTTACCATGGAGACCCAGCCTGATTAAAAGTGAGCCAGCTTCATGATACTGATAACCTGAGCTGAGCCCAAAGTAGCCGGACAAGCCACTGATCTGACTTCGTGGTACACCCACCGGGAAAGCTTTCATCTCATCAGTCCTATCTGTCATCGTGTAGCTGGGTACTCACTCAGTGAGCAGAGCAAACCTCCTCAGGCTGTCGAGAAACTCTCTGCTGCCGCCCTGGTGGAAGTGCAGTACAGGCAGGGGGGTGGAAGAGTCCTTCAGTTTACAGATCAAAAAGGCCCAACCTTCCTCCTTCACTGTGATGGACCTGAGGTCACTGACACTGAAGGTGAACGCCCACCTGCTCCTCTCATGGCTGTGGTTCAGAGAGCCTGGTGGACAAGGGAGTGGAAACAGAAAACGTTTTTTGTTTTTTTACAACTACAGAAGAAGTGAAGCAACATGCTGCTAAACTAACATCTGATTATTGATATTTTAACACTGCTTTGAGCTCAGCAACTGTTCCTGGTTTGTTCTGTTTGTATGAGGTTGTCGTCAACCAAACCTGTAAAGCTAGAGATATCCCAGCTACTGGTATCAGGGTCGATCTGTGCATATTGTAATGGATCAGCTAAAATAAAGCTCGGCAAAATCTTTACAGTACTCTACTGTGTTTCTTTACTCTGCTGTATTTTGTCCACCTCAGTCTCAGCCTGTGGTGCAGAGTGAAAATTAGAGAGTTTGAATGTGGATAATTATTCGAACACACCGACTTCAGACACTGGCAAAACACCATCTAAACTCTGATACCAGGTCTCATGAGCCAACCTGTGTAGAAAAGCTTCAGGCAGCAGCTTCTAGTGTTTATCACTTTAACCTGAAGATGAGTCTCCAATAGCTCCTGTCAGCTGTCACTAATTAATGTTGCTGTGAATGAAGGAGCGTCACTCTGCAATCAGAGTGGATGGTGTATATCCAAAGTAAAAACAAATCCAACAGAGTGAGGCGTCTTCTCACTAGAGGATCTAATTGGGTCAGCTGATCTGAAACATTTAAGTGTGACAAATACTTTTTCACAGCACTGTATATATTTACATATAATTTAAGCCTATAACTTAATAGTTTTGAACCAGGCAGCTCAGGAAAAATAACATGCATCACATTTAGTGTCTACAGCTGCTATTTAATTGTGTTAGGTACATGTTTAATATCAAAGGACTCAGAACAAGATAGGGGCCAAAACAACTACTTTGAGACATCTCTGTGTAAAACAGTGAGACAGTCTGGCTACAGATGTGCTGCAGGACACAGAGAAACGGGTCTGTTAAGAGGCAGAAACACTTTAACGTTCAGCACACAGTCTGTTTAAAGTAGGGGTGGGCAACATGGCAAAAATATCATTGTGATTTTTTTAAAGATTTTTACAAGTGATTGAACAGTACAAACAAAATCATTTTCATATTTAAAAAAATAAACCCTACAGGGTAACAAAACCTAATAAAAAAAAGAATAAGAGCGCAGAGCAGTGTGGCTGGACTATAAACCAGCTGTTGTTGTTGTGGAGCAGCAGCAAAATGGCCATTTTAGAAAAGTATTTACAGTTGGGTATCTCGTACAACGGATCAGCTATTTTAAGACCCTCATTTTTCCACAGCTTTTTGAGAATCAGATCCTCGGCCAGTAACAAGTCACTGCATCGGTTACATCTTTCCACCACTTGTCCTGTCCCATGGAGGGCCTTTCCCAAATGCTATTGTTAGTTGTTTTGGCTGTGTAGTTGTAACTGATGCATGCACACAGGGTCCTCTCACTGTCTGACTGCTATCACAATCATTTGGGTGTTTTCTTTTGAGGTGGATAAAAAGGTTTGTCGTGTTGCCATCCGACATATAACATTTAAAAATGCCTGTTGTTTGCACCACATCAGTTCTAAAGTGGATGAAAGAAACCTCACCCTCTCCATTTGTGCAGGGTCTCTTCTTGAAGGACACAGCGTTGACCATGTCCCACTCTGTCTCGTAGCTCTGCTGGGTTTCTAACAGCTGGTGACTCCTGTCCCCAGGACCCTGCGTGCAACCCATCACTGAACTGGAGTCCTGGGGAAACACACACAAAGTCATTTTTTAAATTTATGTTAGCCGAACTGTATTCACCACCTCTGCTTGCGTAGAGCTCCAGATAAATGCCACAGAACAGAGATGAAAGGACGAGCTGCTGACAGCTGTTTGTTGGCAGCCACATACACTGAAGAGGCAAAGTAATACTGTGTGAGGCAGAGGGACAGGTGTATCAGGAAGCTGGGACACACACAGCATGGAGATTAGCTTCTGATAATAAGAACAAGCCGTCTGAAGCTACAGTACAACAACATACAACCTCCCTACAAAGACTGAAGGTGTTTTGGTCAAGCAGGAAAGCGACGGGGAGCTTGAAGGTGAACCTGGAGATGACTGAAGTGTCACTAATGAGCTTCACCTTATAACACATAGAACTGAGACAAACCTTTCCAGCACACAGTATATTTGACAGGTCGACAGTGTCTTCCAGCGGTCTGTACTCGACAAGGATCTCACCATCCTGGCAGCGTGGAGAGACAAAACGTAGTAGGTTTATTTCATATACACAGCAAACCAAGAAGCACAGGACAAACGGCGAAAGGTGTTGCTAACAAAAGTTAACCTATTTTATAACAGATTAACAATGCACATGTACAGCTGAAAATAAGCAACAGTTAATAAATTTGATATTCAATTTAAACATTTAAGTCATCTCTAAGCAAAAACTCAGGTTCCAGTTTTATAATTATCGTTGGGGTTTGTAATGTTGGTTGAACAAAATGAAAAATTTTAAGACACCATGTTGAACTACAACCAGACATTTTTCACTATTAGCAGACATTTTACAGTCTACAAGATTCATCAAGAAAGTAACCTGGAAATTAATCAATCATAGAATGAGTTATTAGTTGTAGCCCCACACCCTTGTGTGACTATTTAACACAACAGTGGAACAGAACATTTCATTTTAACAGAAGTCTTACCTTGTCAATAACCTGAAGTGACCCTGAAATGAGTAAATCCTGCTCGATGGCCTCTTCATCACTGCTCAGCTGTATGAAGACACCTTGGTGTTCAAATATAACCTGCGGGGCAGACGCTCCATTAAGGTCAGCTCAGATCAAAGAGGGAAACACCTGATTCTTTGAAGGTTAAATCTTGTGCTGTTAGACAAACCCAGGAGGTGGTTTAATACCACTTCCTGCTGTTACAGAATATTCAGACTCTTCTAACATCTGGATCAATCTACAATGTACTGCTCATGTTAGAATAGAGTGATTGGACCAACTGGTTTTAAAGGCAGATTCATCTGTATGTTATGGCCTGTTCTGTTGTCCAGCCAGCACCGCTGTATAACTGGTTCCACTGGTCAAACTAATAGGCATTAGCAAACCTACTGGCATGAGAAATACTACTTTATCTGTCATGATACATGGCTTCAACTGGTGTTTGGTTGAGTTTTGAGACAATGAGACGGCTTGACAGAAACACCCCTGCTGTTTGCCTGCAGCCACACACTCAACACAATCCTCCATAACAGGCCATAATCTGTCTGCTGCAACATAAACGACATGTTCTATACAGGCAGGGAGCTGGAAATACCACATCCATGCTCTTTCAGTAATATCAGATCAATATAGACAACTAACTACGGCAACATTTTTAATTTAGTTGCTCATGGTACAATATAAGAAAATTGCTTTCCAGCTGCTATCTTAGAAACGGAATCACAATTTTGTGAGCGTGTTAACAATCTTGCTTATGTTGCAACAGACTGAACAGACTCAATATTTTCATCCAGATGTTTGAACAATCCTTGAGGAGTCTAGGAAAATCCTCGAGAACAGCTGGAAGTGGTGAGAAACCATCGTCTACGTTTTTAAAGGATCCCCAGGTTTTCCAGAAAAGTAAATGCTTAGATCTTAGGCAAAGTCCACTTATTTGCATTTCAGTATTTTACATTAAAACAATTTTTAAAAGAAGGAAACTAACAGTAAGAGCATAAACACACTTACAAACTGGAGCAACATTAAGTTTACCTGCAGGTACAGTAACTGAACTGCATGTAGTTTTTCTCATCATACAGAACTGTGGAGTTTTGTTTTGATAAAAATACGTAAAAGAAATAAATACTCGCTAGCGCTGAGAAGAGCCAAGTGCCTCCACAATTGCAATGGAGTGTGGTTACTTGATAAAATGCAGAATCATTCGTTGTTTCTCGTGTTTTTCCAGTCGCTGTCTGGTAGTTAAAAAGTTCACTGTTGATCAGTCTAGTGCCTCCTCAGCGGCCCAGCCAGCTCGCTTCGCTAACATAGATGTTAGTTGTTAGAATCTCACACAGTAGTTTACTGTTCGTATATTGGATTTAAAAACAAAATATAGAGACGGGTAAGAATGTAATGTGAGCTGCCTGCAGACGGTGAAGCCACCGTGTCCTCATCCTGCCTGTGAACTGATGGCATGTCGTTTTGGCTGGAGTTAGCGTAGCACAGCGGTTAACTCCAGCTAACGCGTGAGCCATTAAACTATCGTACTAATCTACGGTGCACGTGCGTAGAGTCCACACAGAGATATAACCGTGAACTGGCACTGTTATCTTGCAAATATAATGATCTCAGATAACCTGAACTGTTTGATATTATTACCTTGTGAACCGACCCCGCCGCCATGTTGTCTACTGTCTGTTCTGATGACGACATCTGCTCACGTGCCTGTTAACTGCCAAAACAAAACTGACAAGTCAGCTTCCGGTAGAAAGCGCAGGTACGCGTTCTTCTTCTTCTTCTTCTTCTTCTTCTTATGATGTTTATTGGCGGTTTGCAAGCCAACGTAAGGTGCATTACCGCCGCCTGCTGGGCTGGAGTGTGGAAATAGGCTTTCTCACAGTTGCTGCCCAAAAGACTCTCTAGTGATATATTAGTAATCTTCTTTTCGCAGGTATGCATTCACACTGTGAGTTGACCTTTAACCTCTCAAATAGAAAGTACACAAATATTATCACATGTCTGTAAGTAGTTAAAGCACCAGCAGTAGAACTACACAGGTATTATTAGCTTCATGTAAATAATCAGCAAGTAGTAGGTACACAAGAAGGCTATGGTCAGCTACCTGAGGTTTTTTTGTAGCCTAGCCAAAGTATCAGCAGTAAAAGTTAATTTTTCACAAATATCCCATAGATAATAAGGTCAAAGAAGTCCATTACAAAATTTTACATGGTTTTATCCTAGTATTTAGTAGTTTTATCCTAGTAATTTTATATCCATAAATGTAAAATATCTAAATCCACCCCAACTTATTGTCTTTCTCTTGTGAAATCCAAAGAATCTTGAAATCTTTAAAGTTGGTCAAGAACCACAAATGTGCCTTAATATTTTTTCGACACTTTGAGATCACTAATGGATTGCTGTAAACTTTATTTTATTTTTTACTTTATTCAAATGTAGTACTCTATTACCACAGTTTTTTTTTCTTGTTATTTTGGTGTGACTTTTATTGGCTATACATTTCAATTTTATACTTGAATCCATATGGCTGGCTGCATTACTGTGTGGTACTGTTATGAAACAAATCGCGTTTCCTTTAATACTGTATAATATATGAACAACTATCAATGAGTGAGAAATAAAGAGAACTGAGACGGGTACATCTTCAGTGTAATTTTTTCTGCAGAAAGGAGTAGTCTACAACAGCACTTGGAGATGCATGTTACAGAGACTCAAAGAATAAAGGAAGATTCAGTTCAATGTAAAGCAGAGAATAATGTCACACACAAAAGGAGGGTACACTGAGAACAATCATGTATTTGTGTTCAAAGAATTTCTAATTTCCAAAACAGGGAGCTTCATGAGATAATTGAGATAATTTCAAGGTCTGTGGATATTACAGTTGCTTCTTGCAGCAAACAAAGATACCTTAGGCATTCAGTGTGTCAGCAGAAACAGAGTTCACTTGTTCAGTGTGTGAAAGGGTACCACAGTTAGCTGCAAGACTATAGCTTTAATACGAAAATGAACAACTTGAGTGGCTATACTGATAAATGCCATTACACTTACAGAGGTTGTACTGCCTCCTGCAGAAGGACCCTGCAATGCATAGTGAATACAGCCAGCAAGCTCATCTGTGCCCCTCTGCCTTCCCTTACGGATATTTTTAATACCCACCTCACCTGCAGAGCCATCAGCATTGCTGATGACGCCTCCCACCCCTCACACTCCCTCTTCAGACTCTTGCCTTCAGGTAGAAGGTATCAGAGTCTTCAGGCGCACTCCACCAGACTTACCAACAGGTTTATCCACCAGGCCGTGAGGATGCTGAATGCTGTCCATTACCCTAGTGATGCTGACCATCTGACAATCTTCTTGTTATTATTTGCACAGCTGTCACTGATTGTACATGATTTTGAGTTCTAGCCTGTTAGGTTGCACTATTTAGTTTTATCCCGGTGACTTTAATTTAGTTTTCTTATTCAATTTTACTCTACTTTTATTCTATTTTAGTTTCCTAAATGGTATGGCATTCAATACTAGGTGAGAGAGAAACGGTATTTCGAATTTCTGTATGTCCTGCATATATAGTGAATTGACAATAAAAATCTTTGATATCCTTGATATACTGTACATGTCATTGTTGTGTTATACCAATAAAGTTTGATTACAAAAACGGAACACAGCCGCAGTCTCTTAAAGTCTCGTGATAGTTGGCAAAGAGAAGACGTCCAACCGCCATTAAACCCGAAGGCAGTGAGCTGGAGATACGACGCTAGTAGTGTATGTGATAGCTGAGCGTCAGGGTTGAGAGAGTTTATAAGATATGTTGTTTATAACGAGAAAAAGGGATTTCAGATCTAAAATCCAATGAGTTTACAGTCAACGTGTGGTTTTGCTACAACATGGATTTAAACAGAGTTAATCACTCTCCCACAGAGGAGGGGGAGCTCGAAGACGGAGAGATTTGCGATGATGAAAACGAGGAGAGTGTGCCGATCCGGAAGGGGGAGGGTAACAGGCACGGCCGCGCCGCTCCTTCACGGACACGAAAACCTCACCCGCTT